TAGAAGTCTCATACAATATTTGTCCTTTTGTGATTGACCTATTTCACTCAGCATAATGTCCTCCAGTTTCATCCATGTTATGAGATGTTTCACAGATTCATCATTGTTCTTTATCTTTGTATAATACTCCATTATATGTATGTACCATAGTTTGTTTATCCATTCACCTGTTGATGGGCATCTAGGTTGTTTCCATCTTTTTGCTATTGTGAACAGTGCTTCAATGAATATGGGTGTGCATATGTCTATTAGGGTGACGGCTCTTATTTTTCTAGGATATATTCCTAGGAGTGGGACTGCATTTTATAGTACTTTTTTTTTTGTGGTGCTGACATTTTCTTTGTTCCGCTTATTCTACTGCGCTGAGTTCCTTTTGTTTGTGGATTTTTCATTTTTGTTTTTGTTTTTACTGAGACTTTATATTTTTCTTCTTTATTTTGATGAGTAGGTTTGTTAACTTTCTTTGTAGTTACCTTGAAATTTATCCTTATCTTCCTAGATTTGAACCAGTCTATTATTACTTGGTACTGCTTGACTTCTTCTCCATTAGAAGGTTCTATACCTACACCGTTTATTCCCTCTTTTATTGTTCGATACTGTTGTCGTTTACAGATTAACCTCTCTGGTTCCCTTTTGTAATTCTTTTGGTTTTGCATAGTCTTTAACAGTTCATTTGCTAGGTTGGTATCCGGCTAGTACAATCCTGTGTCCTATACTCAGCCTGTGGTCTGATATTGTTTGTTTTCAGATCAAAGGACTTCCTTTAATAAGTCTCGTAAGTTTGGTTTGGTTTTTAAAAAGTCCCTTAATTTCTGTTTATCTGGAAATGACCTAATTTCACCATCATATTTGAACGAGAGTTTTGCAGGATATACTATTCATGGCTGACAATTTTTTTCTTTCAAGATTTTATATATGTCATCCCATTGCCTTCTTGCCTACATGGTTTCTGCCGAATAACCCGAGCTTAGTCTTATTGTTTCTCCTCTGTATGTGACTTTTTGTTTTTCTCAAGCTGCTCTCAGGATTCTTTGTCTTTGGTTTTAGTGAGTGTGATTACGATATGCCTTGGTGATTTTCTTTTGGGGTCTATCCTATATGGGGTTCGCTGAGCTTCTTGGATCGTCAGCTTTTCATCTTTCATGATACTGGGGAAGTTTTCTGTCAGCAGTTCTTCAATGATCCTCTCTGTTTTCTGTTTTCTCCCTGTTCTGGAACTCCGATCACTCGCAGATTTTTGCTTTTGATTGTATCCCACATAATTCTCAGGGTTTCTTCATTTTAATTTGTTCTTTTTTCTGATTTTTCCTCAAACAGAGTTACATCCAATTGTTTTTATTCAGTTTCTCTGATCCTATGTTCCATCGTTTCAAACCTGCTCCTCAGCCCTTCTATGACACTGTCCATTTCTGAAATCTTGTTGGATTTCTAATTGTTGTTTTTCTATGATTTCTAATTGTGAATTTACTTCAGCATTTTGTTCCTGTATTATTTTCCTGAATTCTTCCATTTTTTGTCTGTATTTTCAATGAATTTGTCAGTCTTTTCCATGAATTTGTCTACTTTTTCCTCATTTTTGTCTGTTTTTTGCTTCAACTCTTGGACAATTCTGAATATTAGAGATTTCAATTCCCAATCAGTTAGGTCTAGTGCCTTTTCTTCTACTGGAAGGTCATCTGGTGTTTTATTTTGGACGCCTACTGGAACCATCCTGTCCTGTTTTTGTAAATGTTTTGATATGGTCTGCTGTCTTTGGGGCATTCAGTGGCTATTTTCCTCATTTACTGATTGTAGATTTGTTTTGTCCTGCATTTTGTTTTATTTGGTTATGTCTGAGCAGGCGGGCTGTGCGTTCTTTGTTGTTTGCTCGTCTGTGGGCACAATACTTTTCACCTCCTTCTCCAATGGGCAGGGTCAGTCACTCAGGTATGGTACAGCAGGGCAGGTCCAGCTGAAGGGGAGTTGCTGGGATAGGTTTTTTGTGCCAGGTACCAGGGCTGACAGTACAGACCAGGAATCAGTGCAGGGCAGGTTCCAGTAGGCCGTGTCTGTGCTGCTTGGGAGTGTGATGTTCAGCGCACAGTGCAGGTAGGCAGGAAGGAAGGGGTAGATGGTGATGTGTGGAGCTAAGATGGGTATGTAAAGATGACAGAGAGGAACAGGAGCTAAAAACATACAAACAAAAAAGAGTGCTAAGCGAGCTTGCTATTGGAGTGGAGAGATGAGAGACAGAGAAATGGGGAAAAACAAAAATGAAAAAAAAAAAGAAAAAGGGTAAAAGAAAAAAAATGAATAAATCAAGAAACTGGAAATGAAGAAAGACAAAAAGGGAAAAGAGAGAGAAGCAAATTAAACAAAGAAATGAAAAAAAAAAACAACCAAAAACAAACAAACAAAAAAAAAAAAGAAAAAGAAATGCCCCCAGGGATGTCCCTGTGCATCCACACAGAGTAAGGGACTAGTTTCCAAGCCGCATTGTACTGCCTGTCTGGAAGGGGCTCCAAAGCCGAGAAAAGAAAAAGAAAACAAACAAACAAATCAAAACAGAACGAATCAGAAGAAACAAACAAACAAAAAAGCCCCAGGGTCCCACCAGCGTGGTGGCATGGGCCGGGAAGCAGTTTCGCAGTTGAGCAGTGTTTTGCAGCCTTTCAGGAAGAAGCAAAGATGGCGCACAGAGCCAGGTATTTGAGAGAAAGGAGGGGGAGGTGTTGAGAGGTAAGGAAGAAATCTAAAGAAGCGGAAAAAAGCAACACCAGCAGCCAACAGCTGGCGCTCAGGGAGCTAGCCAGTGCGGGTGGGTGGAATCCAAGTGGCACTGGGGGAAAGCTCGTGTTTCCCGGCCAATAGACTGTGGCTGCATGAAGCAGAGCAGGCTAAGTGGGGGTGAAGAAGGGAAGGGGTGGGAAAGCCTATATTGTGGGTTACCGGTTGTTCTGTCTCCTACTGGAAGCTCCGTAAAGCGGCTTTCTGGTACCTCCTATTCGCTGACCTCCGATAGGAGTCCAAAATGGCAGATCTGTGCTGCGGTAGCTGATGGGGACCTCTGCATGTTATCTCTCCTCGCACTCTGTTCTCGGTCAGTTTCTTATTACATTCGGTGCTTGGCTGAGTTCTTTATCTCTTCACTTGATGTTTAGAGTTTCAGAATTGACGTGTAATTCTGTTTGACTTAGTTTTTCTGATCTTTGCTGCAGAGGGACGGCGTGCTGCTTCTGACTATAGTGCCACGTTGCCTGGAAGTCCTCTTTATTTTGACTTTTTAAATGTCTCATATTTTAAAGAACCTTCTCAAGAAGATCCAGATAGAAGCAAAATTTGAAGCAAATACTCTACAGATACCAAATTATCTTGCTTTTTATAAGAGATATTTCAGAGCACTTCTGTCCATTTGTACCATCAGGTTACCTTTAAGATTGACACTTGTAGGGAACAAGAGAGTGAGAGAACTCGTTTCCTGATAGCAGGACAAGCAGAACAGGGAGGGTGAGCAGAACTATTAAAAGTACAAAAGGTACATTTGCAAATGCAGAACAGTCCTTGAAATAGATTTTTTTTTTTTGTACAGACATTTTTTAAATTTTCTTTTCAAATGTCATTTTATGACAAAATAGTATGTCAAATAGAAGCATCATTATTTATTAAGCCATTCTCTTGGACTTGAACATTTAGGTTATTTCCAGAAATAGATAATTCTTAAATAACTTTTATTACAACTAGAGGCTGCATTTTCTTTTCTAGTAATGTATCTTTACAATTATAATAAAAACTGGGGGGAAGAAAGACTCAGCCATATAAAGATTTGCTTTATAGGTGAATTTTGCATTAAGACATTCAATACATAAAATAATATCCTAAACTATTTCATAGTCCAGTCTTTAAAGTGCTTGACTTTACTAAGTACTTAAAAATGAAGTTTTCTGATTTCTGGGATTTGCTTTAAAATAATCCACTGAATGGAAGCAGAGATGTGATGGCCATTTTGGAACTCAGTGATCGGGAAATAGAATATGGGTGCAGTGGTGGTTCAGTGGTAGAGTTCTTGCCTTCCATGCAGGAGACTCGAGTTTAATTCTTGGCCAATGCATCTCAGTGCAGCCACCACCCATCTGTCGGTGGAGGCTTGCATATTGCTATAATGCTGAACAAGTTTCAGCGGAGCTTCCAGACTAAGAAAGACTACGAAGAAAGGCCTGGTGATCTGTGTCTGAAAAATCAGCCCATGAAAACCCTATGGATCATTTTAACAGCCCAATCTTGCTGTGCATGGGGTCGCCATGAGTTGGGACTGACTTGAGGACAGCTAACAACAACACATGGAGTACATGGGGGTTATTTCTACTATCTACTCTTGTATACGTTTAAAATTTTTTATTTAAAAAAAAAAAAAAGTGTTTGACTCACCACCATCAGGGTCATCTCTTCCTTGAGGTCATCATATCTTTCTTCCAGGCGACTGAACTCATTCAGAAGGTTCTGATATCTCAACCTTTCATCATTAAGATCGAGTTCCAGTTGTTTTGTTTCTTCTATTAGCTTCTTCTCCATAGTCTCTGAAAGAAAGAAGAGAGAAATACATGCCAAAGATGGCTCCATAGAATACAAGAATGAAAACAGGTACATTGATTTTCACGTTCTCTGCCCGGGATTTTTATTTTTAGCACCACTATAATCTTTAAAGAGTATCTTAGGGAATGTACAGAAAGAAAATATATCATGACAAAAAATGAAGTCATGTATTACTAATAACAACTATCATCAACTGAGTTCTTCTGTGTACATTCTTAGTTGGTATTCCTATTCCCATTCCAAAAATGGTAATTATCTTACTTCTTTCCTGGTGTAAGAGATGTTTCAGAGCATTTCTGGCCATTTGACCATAAGATTATCTCTAAGGCTGATACTTCTAGGGAGCAAGAGAGATAGGGACCTCTTAGTTCTTTGCTGGCAAGACATGTAGGAACAGGGAGGGTTAGAGAAGCTTAAAGAGGCCACACAGCAGGAATGGGAAGAGCCCACTCTTGTCTGTCTTCAAGGGTCATGCTCTGCACCACATGCTATGGAACCGCTAGTTTATACACTGCTTTCAGCAACCCTTGATAAACTTTCGTGCATCACTGTTTATTAACTAAAGTCTGTTTTTTAACTCCAATAATATTCTGCTTCAGGCTATTCATAACATTCTTATGTCCAAACTAATGTACTCTCTCAGTTTCTCTGGGGGCCTAGCTATAATACTCTACAGAGTCTGTCTGCTCATCCTCAGTTCCATGGTCCCATCTTAAATTTTCCAGCACTCTAAACTACTCTTGCTGCCCTGTTAGTCCCCTCTTCTAACTAGATAAAATCCCTAGGTCTGGTCACCAGAGTTGTTTACTTTTTTGGCCACCTCACAGGTGCTAGGGGAATCCTGACCTTCCCATTTACCCACCCACTCTGTTGCCAGTAGCTTGCATTTGACTGGTACATGGTCTGGAGATTGGAGATTAGTCCCTGACTGCAGAAACAGCAAAGCAAAAAAGCCTCAAATCTTGGCTGTGTATTTTAACTCAATGAGCCAACCAGTCACATTTACAATATTAAGCCTCCGAGAGGTGGGGCCAATATGGCAGAGTAGTCAGACACTTCCGGTGGACCCTCTTACAACAAAGATCCAAAAACACAAGTGATTCGATTACATATGACAGTCTGGGAGCCCAGAACATCAAAGGTAGAGTTGAGGAACCGGACTGAGTGGCAGCGGGAGGGAGAGACGGTTTGGAAGCAGTGAGGACTTGTCAGACCTGACACGGTGACAGTGTGAGCCCTTCAGGCCTGAGCAGCTCTGGCGGGAGAGGTGAGGCAGGCCAACAGCTGTGCTCAGGAGGCACATTTTCAGCACCGGGAAAGACCCAGCCAATAAGCGTCTACACGGCCACCCAAAACCAGTGAGAAGCAGCCCTCGATCTGAAGAAAGATAATTGCGTACAGCTTACCGCGCAGATCAAAACCACCCCTCTTAGGGAAAAACCTGTCTCCCATTTACCTCCCCACTCCCTGCTCTGCACTGGGTCCCGGACCAGCTTCAGCAATTGCCGAGTCCCTGGGCTGGAAGTAGGATCTGTCACACGCCCAGAGCCATTCTCCCTGCCTTGGACAGTGAACAAATTAACAAATAGGGGAAAAAATAAACTGCCTGCTCCCCTAAGCAAGGAACCCAGGATAAGCACAGCTCCTTTGCCTAGGCACAGGCATAAGGGATCCACAGACTTTGAGTGCCTTTCCGCCTGCATAGACTTGTGTGGGCCCATCTCAACAGTGCAGGCCCTCACTACTGTAGTACAACAGGGTATATACCAGAACTCTAACTTCAACTGTTTCAGCTGTGAAGTGGCAGGTTCTTGACATTTGACACTGCTCTGCCCATTAAGCAGGCTCTTCACCTACCCACATCAGGGGCCTGAGGACTGGTGGCTCCACCCACACCACCTAGCCACCTACGAGAGGTGCCCACGATTAAGAGGTGCCCCCCAGTCTTTATAGCCAACAGCATTAGGTGCTCATAGTCTGGCTGCAAAACCCACCCACCTACGCGTTCTAGGGAACAGGAAAACTTCCTCCTGGACACTCAGGGGTGACTGTCAGCTCTCTGCCTTGGTCAGAGTGTGTCCCCCCACTGCAGCCAGATGCCTGTGCCTACACCAATCACCCGTGCCTGTCTAGGACTGTAAGTGAGAGCCTACACCAAACACTTGGTGGCTATCAGCCTGAACACCTGAGCTGAATCCATACAGGAGGAGTGCGCAAACTCCTGAGCATACATATTTAGTAACAGATCTAACCACCTGGTGACAGGACATTAGAGCTTCAGAGGCGCCAATAATCAAACTAGCTCATACGAGCAGCCTATTTGGGCATATCAAAACAAAACAAGAATCTAGGACACAGTAAGAAAACATAAAATAAATAAATATAATAACTTATTGACAGCTCAGAGACAACAGTCAATATCAAATCACATAAACAGGCAATCCACGATGGCTTCAGCAAGCTCCCAAAATAAAGAATCTAGAAATTTTCCACAGTAGGAAAATTTCTTGGAATTACTGGAAGCAGAATACAAAAGATTAACATACAGAACTCTTCAAGACATTAGGAAGGAAATTAAGCAAAACACAGAACACGAAAAGGAGGAAATTAAAAAGATTAGAGAAGAGCATAATGACAAATTAAACAGGTTGCAAGAAACCATAGAGAGACAGCAATCAGAAATGCAGAAGATTAACAATAAAATTTCAGAATGAGACAACTCAATAGAAAGTCACAAGAGCAGAATTGAGGCCATGGAAGTCAGAATTAGTGAGATTGAAGATAAAGCACTTGACACCAACTTATTTGAGGAAAAATCAGATAAAAGGATTAAAAAAATGAAGAAACCCTAAGAATTATGTGGGACTGTATCAAAGGAATAACCCACGAGTGACTGGAGTACCAGAACGGGGGGGCGGATAACAGAAAATACAGAGTGAATTGTTGAAGATTTGTTGGCAGAAAACTTCCCTGATACCGTGAAAGATGAGAAGATATCTATGCTCATCAAACCCCACATAAGGTAGATCCCAAAAGAAAATCACCAAGACACACTATAATCAAACTTGCCAAAACCAAAGATAAAGAGAGAATTTTAAGAGCAGCTAGGGATAAACGAAAAGTCATCTACAAAGGAGAGTCAATAAGAATAAGCTTGGACTACTCAGCAGTAACCATGCAGGCAAGAAGGCAATGGGGTGACATATAAAGCCTTGAAGGAAAAAAACTGCCAGCCAAGAATTATATATCCAGCAAAACTGTCTCTCAAATATGATGGTGAAATTAGTGCATTTCCAGATAAACAGAAGTTTAGGGAATTTGCAAAAACCAAACCAAAATTATAAGAAATACTAAAGGGAGTCCTCCGGTTAGAAAATCAGTAACATCAGATAACAACCCAAGACTAGAACACAGGACAGAGCAACCAGATATCAACCCAGATAGGGAAGTCACAAAAGTAAGTCAAAGCTAAAACACTGAAAATAGGGAAACAGATGTCAATATGTAAAAGATGACAACATTAAAACAAAAAAGAGGGACTTAAAAAATGTAGACATAGATTTTTCATATGGAGAGGAAGTCAAGGCGATATAAAAAATAAAAGACTGGTATAAACTTAGAAAAATAGGGGTAAATATTAAGGTAACCACAAAGGAAACTACAATCCTACAAGTCCAAGTCAAAAACTACAAAAATATGAAGACTCAGCAAACAAAATCAACAACAATGAAAAAGATGAAAAGAAAATACATAAAGAAAACGACTCAGCACAGAAAATTAAGCGGAACAAAGAAACTGTGAACAACCCACAAAAAAAGACATCAAAATGACAGCACTAAACTCATACCTATCAATAATTACACTGAATGTAAATGGACTAAATGCACCAATAAAGAGACAGAGTGGCAGATTGGATTAAAAAAACACGATCCATCTATATGCTGCCTACAAGAGACGTACAATATTAATCTTCCCACACTATGCCCCATTTCATCCTTGTTTTGTGGCTAAATTTTAGTTAATCTTCCCTTCCTGCTTCTATTGCTTCACAATTGCTTTCTCTGTAAGCAAGGGCTGCAAGTAACTTGTCACAACTGTTTCCCTGGTGCCCACCACGATGCTTGCCTGGAGTGGGGCTTTAATAATTTGTAAATAAGTGAATTTCTTCTCTGTACAACATTCTGTAAACTGGCTTTTATTCTCACCAGTTTGTTGAAGCTGCTACAAAGCTAACAACAAATTTTCTCTAGGCAAATCCACAGTTATTTCTTTGTTATCATCATTCAATTTCAAGTTACACTTTCCTAGAACTACTCTTACCATTCTGGATTGTTCCATCACATTCTGTATCGTAGAAGCTAAGGCTTCAGTGACTCTGCTTTCTCTTTCCCTTCTTAATTTTTCTTTCTTTTGGCTTCTTTTCTCCACTTTATCCCTTACTTCTGGTCATTTTACAAGGCTTAATTTCAGGTTTTCGTCTCTTTCCTCTACGTTATCCCTTTTAATTGGAGAAAGGATGGTGTGGAGAAAGGCATGGTGGCCTCTCTTACACTAGTTTCAATGAGTATTTCCAGGTTTATTTCTTACTCTCTTTCTAATCTCTGATCTCAGTCTGCTTTCGGAACACCTCCATCTTGAGACCCTAGCTGATACCCAACACTTAATACTCTAACAATTGATTTCATTAATTTGCTTCATAAACAGGTCCTTTTTCCCCTCAATTTCCTCTTTACTAATAACACACTATCATTATTTTGAGACCTCATCTCAAAACTTTAGAACATTTTTATTACCATTTTGAATACCATATCTAAAATGATAATATTCTATTAATTCTTTTCACCTAATAGAACTTAATTCCAACCTACCTCTTCCTCCCATTTCTACCACTAATTACTGTAGTTCAGATCTGTATCTTCTTACTCTATGTTTGTGTGTAGGTGGATTCCTTGTAAATGATCTCCATTCTAAATCTGTCCTACAAACAGCAAACAGAACTGTCCACATCTAATTAGTTCTCTATTTAAAAAATTTTCTTTTTTTTTTTAATTTCATGGCAAAGATTGGTTGATCTTAGAAGAATAATATCCATTGGTTTAGCAAAAAATAAATAAATAAAATACATACAGGCGCACACACACACATATACATGTTAGCTCAAGAATTATTCCTAAATCAATAGGAAACTTATAAGCTATGAGAGTTAAATCATACATGCAGAACAAATTAACTGTTTAAAAATTATGTATGCTATTTCCTGACATTAACTCACAATTGTAAACAGACTAGCTTTACAAGACCAAACCCACTGTTGTCGCGACTCAGAGCAACCCTATACTTACTGATGACAACCAGATAGTCCCATCTTCAATCTTTAAAAATATTTAAACTCTAAGCAATGTACCTTATGAAACAAGGTTGTACCTTATCAAACGTTGCTGTAAAGTTCGTTGGAGTGCAGTAGGTTGGGCCCACAGGAATCTTACCTGTCATCTTTTTAGCCTGCTCCACAATAAGGTGGTTGAGGGTCTCTTTTTCCTGTTTCAGCAAAGTGTTTTCTTCTTTCAGATTTGACACCAGCTATAAAATGAAACACACCAGCTCTAAAATGAATGAATAAACTGAGGTGGCTGTAACAGACAGAGGAAGTCCAATTACTAAGTGTGAGGGCTACACAGACTACAAGACTCCTTGCTTTCACTATCTCTGTGCCTCATTTCTCTGCCTCGTTATATCTGGTCATCCTTCCAACTTGGCTCAGGCATTACCTCCTCCAGAGAGCCGTCCTAGAAACGCCCTCCAATAAGATGTCTCTCCTCTGGGTTACCACAGGAACCTCTGTATGCCTCCTTATAGCCCTTATATAATTATTTACTTTTTGTCTTCCCCAACAGAATAGAAATTCTTGGAAGACAAGTATGCTTGTTGTTCTTTTACTTTGTACCTTGAGCATTTAGCAAATTGCCTGGGACCTACTAAGCCATTTGCTCTCAAAGAAATGAACTTGCCTTCTTACCTATACCCTAACACAAAGCTTATGTGTACCCAAGATTCAAATGGAGAGATTCAGGAGGTTAAGAAGGATGTCAAGGGGCCTTTAGTTCTGGCTATTCACTAAAGATCTTCTGAAGCTCCTTGTTATCTGTCCTGAGGAAGAGAATTTCCCTTTCATTTCCTTTAACAGTCTTGCAATATTGAGAACTAGTCCTTTTGTTAAATAAGCATTGATCTTTCACTTTCTAATTCCTGGTTGGATAAGGATTCCCATGAAGCAAAAATCAAAACCAAAGGTAACTTTGCAATGAATATAATTTACTCAGTTCATCTTTGGAATATAATGTGTGCTTGTGATTAGTGAAATTCGACTTCTTTTCTCTACACATCAGTTCAAGGAACTCCTAAAGCAATAGCTTAAATAATAAGAGAAAGTTGATGGGCATACCTCTCATTATGTAAGGGGTTCAGAGGCAGGGAACCCTGTGGCTAAGGATCCCTGGTGACAAGGAAAGCTAGATAACAACACTGTACCACAGCAGAAGTTAATCCAGAAGGTGCCCCTTCTTGTGGTCCAGTCTCTTCCCTCCATAATGATATGGCCTTAACATCCACTGTCAGTAGAGACACTCGAGTTCTCTGTGGTCTCTCGAGAGAAGCTGCTCTTTGTCAGGGGTGTGCAATCAATCACCTGTGGTGTTTTTTCAAAATACATATGCAGAGCCCACACCCCCAGCAGATTCAGACACATCTTGATCAGACTGGCTGAGAATGTCATTTTCCCAGCCATAAAGGTGGCTGTCACAGTGACATTTTCTCATTCCTCCCCTATCACTACACTCCATCCAAAGGATGTTAGTGCTTACAGCTATCCATGTGAAAAGTAGAAGATAATGAAAAGAAACGAGAAATCTGAATCTGTTCATGTGTATTATTCTACCAAACCAGAATGACAAGAACTTGTCTATGAAGCAGAAGGGGGATCTCCCCACCAAGCTTAAATACTTTGCTTCCACAGATTCAGGAAACTTAACAGAAAAGCAGAGTTCTTAAACGCTCATGATTATCCCTTTGAAGGCACATCTGAATTCTGATAGAACAACCTTGCCATGTCAAATAACAGTACATAATAGCACTGCTATTTCCATGTACAGAGCCCAGGTCATCTGCTAGAGATACAGAAGGAAGTATTTTATCAGGACTCTGAATATCATGCTAGCATCTCAATTTTATTGGCCTCACTATACTACCTGAACTGCATCTTAAATCCTGCTGAGGTTCTCACTGCTTGTGCTCCTATTATGTTCCAATGTCAGTACCAAACCAAACCAAACCCACTGCTGTTGAGTCGATTCCAACTCATAGCAATCCTACAGGACAGAGTAGAACTGCCCCATAGGGTTTCCAAGGAGCAGCTGGTGGATTTGAACTGCCGACCTTTTGGCTAGCAGCCGAGCTCTTAATCACTATGCCACCAGGGCTCCGAAGTCAGTACAGAAAGAGCATAACTGGGATTCTTGCCAGCAGTTAGAGCTGACATAGTCAACTCTTTTCATATGAAGATGGCGATACTAGTGGACTCTTTGAAAATCTATTACTTTTTCCAGTAAACCTCATGTTGAGGTACTTTTATAAATGTTTAAGCAACATAGCTCAATAGTGCTTGAGACCTTGATATTTTGTGTACTTAATAAAGTTTTGATAAAATTTAATGCAAATTTATAGTGTGGAAGCACCAACGAATCTACAAGCATTTTTGTCGTTGTCCTGTCTGCACAGTAGCTCTGGGCTATGGTTAGTCTGTAGACACTGGATTTCTTCCACTTGGACTTAACACAGCCTTAATTCAAGTTTCCAAAAAGATCCCTACTGACAGGTACTGAGTGTTCATTGTTTGATTGGCTTTTTAATCACATTAATCCTACTGAAGAAGAGGAGTCTACACACCATCCAGACCAAGACATTTAAAGAGAAAGTATAGATAGCACTTGACTATTAATTTTCTTCTTAAAATACTGCTTTGCCTCTGTTCTTATTAGAGTTAAAAGGTTCTACTAAGACACTTGCAGCTACTCACTGATAATATAGGAGAAAATGCTTGGGAAACACTAATAAAGAACAGTAAACCAGCTGAATTTTGTATTCCACCTTCAATTAAAACCAACATTGAGCCTCATGGGCTAGGCCAACACACCACACATTTCCTTTGGGTAGAGAAGTAGATGGGGATATGAACATTAGCTCTCACCTGCTCGGTTTCTTGTCTGTATCTATCTGCACTTTCCTCAATGGATTTTTTCTCTGACCGAGTTTGTTCTAGGTCTTTCCGGAGCTTGGCAATTTCTTCCTGCAGATTGAGGACCCGTTTAGTGGCAACTTTTGCTTCCTCCTCACTTAGGTGAAGGCGTTCTAAGTCACTTCGTAGCTTCTCAGTCTCAGTGTTATATATTGCTTCCAGATGGGCCAGTTTCTCCACGAGGCATTTGTAGTCTTTGTTCTTTAAATACACACATACGAAACAGTAAGTAAATACACGTATCATCAAACGCATTTAGTGAGAAAGCCATGCCTATTCATGGATTTAGCATTGGTAGAGGATCTAAGCAAAATACTAACCTCAACGTTTACAATAACACAATCAATACCCTCTTTGTGACACAAAAACAGAAGAGAGTGGGTGCAAATTAATTTTACACAATGAGCAACAGATATGATTTTCTTATAGTCACAAGGTGAGTATGTAGCAAATCCTTAATTTCCTGGTTATTAATCCAGAAATGGACCCTTGGTGGCACAGCAGGTAAGAGCTCGGCTGCTAACCAAAAGGTCAGCAGTTCGAATCCACCAGCCGCTCCTTGGAAACCCTATTGGGCAGTTCTACTCTGTCCTATAGGGTTGCTATGAGGCACAACCGGCTTGACAGAAACAGGTTTAATACAGGAATGGGGGAGCCTATACTTGCTTTTGATCAGAGTGCCACTAAAAGCCATGTACTAGCCAGGTGATAAACAAGGACGATACAATGGCCTCAACATCACAAGTTTCCTACAAATCTCTATGCTTACTACCTCAAAATCCTCTCTCCCTCTCAGAAAACTTTTTGATGAATCCCATTTCACTGTAATCCCTGTTTTTCTTTGCCCTCCTGAGCATTTCTGTACTCTTAATGATCTTTATACCATTTGCATGTGCTAAAATATTACTCAGGAACTATTCTCAAGCAATCAAGCTATGATCTCTGCAAACAGACTAAAGACTCTTCAGAAGCACGAATATCATTCTGCTTCTCTTGCCAGGTAAAGTGCTTCTCAGCAAAACATCACAGTGACACACGGCTCAGGGTCTCATTTGGAAGCTGGGCCCTCATCACTATTAGACTGAGCCAGTTATTTGGTACTTCCCTCCTCCCACCCCATGTCCACAAATTTTGTCCACTTCCTGAGATGATTTGTGTACCTATCATTATCCACATATATTATAATCTCCTTTAAGGGTAAAGACTGTGGTTTTCTTATCTTTGTATTCCTTACCATGCTCTACCTTCTAGCATAGAGCTTTGCACATAGTAAGGGTCCAGTAAATGTTTGTCAAAAATTTAACTATGACCTTACCCTCCAATTCTTTTAGTTTATTTTTTTACATAAAAAATAAAAAATAATATGTGAGCTGTTTTCAACAAGCTATTCAAAAGACAGATGTCTATTAGGACCACTTTACAAGTACAGGAATTTTAGAACACCCTTGTTTCAGAGACAAAGGAATGAAACACAAACGAAAAGCATTTATATACACTGGAACACTGAGTTCTGTGGTTGAGTTCTCTCTGACCATTAGTATCTTTCAGAGAAAAATACAGAAACAAAGAATTTCAGTCATGTTAATTTTGGGTTTAACTCACAGTGGAACATATATTTAAATGTGTATTTATATGTGTACCTACTCGTTGCAGACAATGAGACTCATATATTCCTTTTCACTGTGGTTTCCAGGGAACTCAGAACCAAGTTGGTGGTTCAACTTTAATAACTATCTAGAACCCTGTATCTTGTATCTCCCCATTTCCCCCAGTCACCATTTTCTAACTGGATTAATATCTACCCTACTGTTGGTTTTTGCATTTGTTATATATTTTTCTATTTTATCATATGTCAATTACACTAAATCCTTTGTTGAAGGAAAAAGCTATTTCTACTGTCAACATGCCACACTCTACCTAGCTCATGTGCTCCACATAAACAAAGGTCCTCAACAGATACTAGCTGAATAAATAAAAAAGAAATATATACGAAATTTAACAGGCTTCATGAGAAGTTTGTTTTAGAAAACTCTAGTTATTGAAGGTTAATTTTTTTTTTTATTCTGAAGACAATTAATTACCAAAATATAACTAAAAAGTCCTTAATGTAAAAGAGAAAATAACAAATCTGATTCTCCAAATGACAAAGTCTAACCTGGGTGGACCAGGTGATTCACTCAGACCCTTCCCCTGGCTGTCTCAACACCAGGGAAGCTAGAGAACATCTTCTGGATGAATAAAGCACTGTATAAAATAATGGGGCCAACCCATGATGGAAGCCACAGACTGTAGTAGGAATTTATAACAAAGGTGCTACCACAAAGTAGATGAGGCAACTGCTGCAGGAATCCTATGACTCTTATCACCTGAACTACTTTTTTCCTCCTTTTCATTTTTTTTCCCCTCTAGAATGCTTATAACATGCTTCTGTTCTTGTATACTATGTGCCCATTCTTCCTCCTTTACTTTTCTACCTGACCTTAAGAGCCCACTTAATGTTTCGGTATCTGTTTTCTCATCTGTAAAATAAACATTACACCACATGCAGATAAATGACAGTGGTCAAAAGCTCTGGGAAGCATGAAGTATAAACACTCACAATCACAAAGATTTGGAGGGTTAGTAAATTTGGCTGTGTTTTACCTCAATCAGTGTCATCAAAATTCATTTCCTGCCTTGCTTAGTCCTTGCAATTATAATCTTACCTATGAGTTTGTCATTATTTTCATGTTCGTTAGTGCCATTTTTTTCACTTCTTGCTCAGACTGAAGGATAAAGTCAAGAAGAGACAATACTGAAAATAATCCCACTGGATTTCTTCAGGCATGCTCTACTTTCAGAGCTCCTGTCTAAAACACACCTGCTCATCAACTTTGCGCTGCAGCTGCATGATCTTGTTCTCCATCCCAATGTGAAGCTTCTTGTAGTGCTCCACGGAGCGAGCCTCGATCTTGAGCTTCTTCAGCTCACGCTTGGCCATCATTCGCCGGAAGCAGCACTGAAGGTAGATGATGGCATGCATGCTCCTCTTGTAGTGTGTCCGAGCTAGCCAGCCCCGGACCCACTTCTGAACGATGACTGCTTTGTGCTCACGGAGTATCTGCAGAGAAGGATAAGTGCAAGTCATTTCAGACCCTGGACAAGACTCAAGGTTCAACTCTTATCAACCTATGTCAGGCTGAGAATTCCTACATTACCTGAAGAGAAAGACACAACAGTTGAATCAACACTATTACATGAATTATATATATCACAGATACATATGGAGGCACACATTATTTTAAAAAGTGGTTTGAAAAGTTGATTTTAAAAGGTGGTTTTAGAAAAATATGTGTTACATTCACATGTTGTATATGGTTATAAGCAGAGTATTGACTTGGAAGCTATCTAAACAAAAGACACCAGATTACTAAAAGGAGAAAAATTCTAAAAGGAAAGAAAGAAATACATTAGGTTTCTTATTGGTATCTGATTCCTGTGAGCAACTGGTGAACCTGGCACCCTGTGAACTACATGCTATTAGGATAAAAGATTCATCCACCACCCTTACTGATGATATCACCTCACTGTGCATTAGGCCTCTGCATGTGGGGTATTGCTGAGCTACTTATTTTTTTCCAGAATGAAAAAGGACACTCCTGTTTGCCACATTTGAGGAATACCATTCTAGGGAGGATTTCCCATTGTTGTTTCAAATGTAGCAGTAAAAGATAGGAGAAATGGGGCTTTAAAAGCAAAGTTAAAAGTAAGATTGAGTGAAACAACCTAATCTTAATTTTGATCTACATTGTATTTTCTAAATATCCACGATACTCCCCTGAACTCTGAAACAACTTACAACAAAAAGCCTGCCTTCTGAGATAATAAATTTCTAATCAGTAAAGACCATCAAGTAGAAATTTATGTGAACATCTTCCAGGAATGATGGAGATGGAATTCTTGATTAGAAAAACCTTGAGGCACTTCTAAGTCTATGATTTTATGAAATAAAATGATATAATTTGTGATGTCAATGATGTTTAAATGTATATATCTGATTAATTTTTTTTTTATTTTTAAAAAAATCTTTTTTTTTTAAATTGTACTTCAGGTGAAGGTTTACAGAACAAATAGCTCCTCATGAGACAGTAGTACACACATTGTTTTATGACATTGGTTAACAACCCCACAACATGTTAACCCTCTCCCTTCTCGACCTTTTTTTTTTGGTGAAAATATACATAGCCAAAGATATACCATTTCAAAAATTTCTACATGAACAGTTCAGTGACATCAACTACGCTCTTCCAACTGTGCTGCTATTCTCACTTCAGATGAAGGTTTACAGAACAAAATAGTTTCTCATTGAACAGTTAGTACACATGTTGCCCTATGACAATGGTTAACGACCTCACAACACATCAACACGATCCTTACTCAACGTTGGGTTCCCTATCACCAGCTTCCTTGTCCCCTTCTGCCTTCTGGCCCTTGTCACTGGACTACTGTACCTCATTAATCCCATCTGGTTTTACAGGGCTGTCCACTCCCCGCTGAATGGTAAACCTAGGAAGTGACTTCACCACTGAGCTTAAAGGGTGTCTGGGGGCCATACTCTCGGGTTTTCTCCAGTCTCCTTTAGGCCAGTAAATCTGGTCTTTTTTTTTTCTGTGAGTTAGAATTCTGTTCTACATCCTTCTCCAGCTCTGTCCAGAACCCTCTGTTGTGATCCTGGTCAGAGCAGTCAGTGGTGGTAGCTGGGCACCATCTAGCTGTACTGGACTCAGTCTGGTGGAGGCCTTGGTAGTTGTGGTCCATTAGTCCTTTGGACTAATCTTTTCCTTGTATCCTGTTCTCTTCATTCTCCCTTGCTCCTGAAGGGATGAGACCAGTGGAGTATCTTAGATGGTTGATTAAATTTTTATTAGTGATACTTGCAAATGGATGCAATGTATCTCTCATGAAACTTCTCATGTAAAAATCTCTGAAACCATCTATTACAATAGATAGTAGTCTAATAGAGCCATTAAAAGAACAGTTCTTATTTTTAAGTTATACACCTGAGAAAAACAATGAAAAAAATGTGCCATCCTGAAGTGGCATTTAGGAAATAAGTGGTTAAATTTTAAACCAGCAAATACAAAATAAGTATAAGAGACCTGGACAGCTTAAGAGAACTTCAGCCAGCTCACACCTGCCTTTTCTGGCTGTTTTCCTAGGCACAGGCAGTCTTCAGTTCTCATGAAGTACAGTCACTGTGCCGCACACTGCAGTGAGGCCAGGCACTATCAGCTCTCTCTCTGAACAGACAGTCCCGAGGGAGGCCCCTGTCTTATCCAGATGACCAATAAGAAATGGCATAAGATGTAGGAATGGCAAACTGATGGCTTTCAGACTTTAAAACTCAAGCAACACACAGCAGCAAAGCTATTAATGACAACTTTCCTGTTCCATTTCCTTCTCCCATTTACCCACGTAACTTCCAGCATTGGTCCATTTCTATAATTTCAGCCAAATGGAAACAGTACATAATTAGAGCTTCCATTCTGAATCTCATTTCCATTAGTGAGTCAGACACATTAAAGAATACCTATTCTTCCTTTAAGACCCTGAAGTCCCATGAAGGGCCACCTTGGACCTGAAACACAGCTAAAAGGTGCATAATGGGATGGCTGTTGGCCTCCTGAACAAGCCTCTCACTTGTCATCTCCACAGTGCCCAGTGACAGTGGCAGTCTGAGCTGGTCAGAGACTGCTCCTGCCAACCCAATGGCCTCCAGAGGAAAAGAGAAGGGTAATCAGTTAGATGTATCTAAAAGACCAAGTTTAAGGCCTTTCCCTCCCCTGGAAGTGCCTGCTTATGCAGAAACAGCACCAGTCAATAAAGCAGGCATGTGCAAAGAGCTGTAGTAACTATCCTCAATTTTTTTTCAAAACATAGCTATTAAATATGAACATTCAAACCTCATTAGTTTTACAATTTTTTTTGTTAAGTTTAAAATTATTTCAAAATTAAAATTAAAATTCACTAAATAAAAGAATAAGGTCCAGTCACGTACATGTACTACCATGTGATTAGAGATCCATCCGCAAATCACCTACTGAACCTCCTTCAAACAGTGATGCCCACGGAACTCTCAAAACCAGACTGCATATTTACAGTTTGTTAGGAATATATTCCATAGGCAGACTCAAAACCTTGCCAAAAAGAAAGCAATAAAAAGGTTTCATCAACTGGAGTCATACATACCCTGTCACAGCTGATGATTCAGGTTCACATGGTGACCCATTAGCTACAGAATCATGTTGATTACTGCTAACTAAAAAGATTGTTTGTCACAACTTCTGGAGTACCATACCCTAGTCAATACAATTTTACCTACTTAATGTTGTAATTTATTTCCTTTTTACCATAGTAAATTCTTCCAAGCTTGTCTCATTCTTGGAACAATTTTCTACCCATCTGTCACATAGTCTTCTCACTCAAAGCTCACTATAGGAGGCTAAATAATGGCCCCCAAAGATAGCAAGTCCTAATCCCTGGAACCTGTAAATGTTCTTTTATAGATCTGCAGGGTCTTTGCAGATCTGATTCAATTAAAGATCATGAGATGGGGAGATTATCCTAAAATATATGGGTGGGCCTAAATACCATAAGAAGTGTCCTTATAAGAGGCAGACAGAAGAGGAGAACTCAGATACACAAAGAAGAAGGTGATGTGAAGAAAGAGGCAAAAACTGGAGTGATGAGGCCACAAGCCCAGGGACGCTGGCAGCCACCAGAAGCTGGAAAAGGCAAAGAGTGGATTCTCCCCTAGAGCCTCCAGGGTGAACACGGCCCTGCCTGCACCTTCACTTCAGGACAGTGACACCAATTTTGAACTTTGGCCTCTAGAACTGTAAGAATAAATTTCTATTGTTTTAAGCCATCAAGTTTGTGGTAGTTTGTCACAGGACACTAACATACTCACTTTTTTCAAACTACCCAGACAAGGAAAAAAGGAGGTAAATTTTATTTTCCATTATCTTGTTAATAAACATATGTACTTTATTATTAAATATTAGATATTTAAATATTTAAAATATATTTTAACTGTTGGTTGTCTCCATATGGTGCCTACGTGCATGGGACCCCTGTGGTTCTTTGTACAGAGATTTGATTAATATTGATGGAATGAATAAACAAAGTTGGAAAATAACGTCTCACCTTACGATACCGATTTCTGGCCAAGTAGCCTCGCAAATGAGACTGAAGAACAACAGTGGCAGCGCGTGTAATCTCGTATCTCCTGTGGACCACGTACCTGTGCCAATACTTCTGAACGATGGTTGCTGCCTTGGTTCTGCGCAGAAACGTAGCATAGCTGGCCAAAGCAAACAATGGTGATTGTTAGTAATCAGAAAAACCTGGGAATACATTTTGTAGAGACTTAGAGTGTTGTGTATACTAAATCAAAATTTATATTCACTTATATTTGCATAGCAATTTATAGCTTCCCAAAGTATTTCTGCATTCCTTATCTCATTTGAGCTTCTCTGGCCCTGAAAAGTGGGATGTCCCATATTATCCACATTTTACAATAAAGAAAGCAAAGCTCATAAAAGTTTATTCTTTCTAGGACAGTGTTCTTTGTATTATCCCAGACTATGTCCCCTTGGCATAGCACTCCAGAAGTGTACAATAATCCCATACTTACTGTATCACCAGCTTTCATAGATCTAGCCATCATTCAGGTACAATATTTTTTCCTTAATCTATCTGTTTGGGTATAAATTAATCATTAATTTCTGTCAATATGCATAAATTGCAATTATCCTAATATGTAATCACATCTAGTGCAAGTCTCTTCTGGATCTTCTCAATTAACTGCTCCCCAAAACTCCTGTTTAGCTTACACATAATTTCTTCAAGTATAAAAAATGAAGAACACTGAGGACATGAGCAGGCAGTCATTTATCTTTTTTTTTTTTGCCAGTTCAACTCTTTACAGGTGTACAACTTATTGACAGCAATTAAACAATAACTGGCTGTGCAACCCTACCCTCAATCAATGTGATTTTTCCATCACCATTAGCCCCCGACCCTCCCCCTCCCTCCCACCCCTGGTAACGACTAATAAACTTTGGTCTTGTACATTTGCCTGTTCTTATCTTTTTATATAAGTGAAGTCATATAATATTTGTCTTTTGTGACTAGCTTATTTCATTCAGCATAATGTTTTCAAGCTCCTTCCATACTGTAGCATGTATCAAGACTTCATTTCTCCTACTGGCTGAGTGGTATTCCATTGTATCTATGTACCACATTTTGTTCATCCAATCATCCGTTGATGGACATTTAGGTTGTCTCCACCCTTTTTGGCTATTGTGAATAGAGTTGCGAAAGACAATGGTGTACGAGTCTCTTTTTGAGTCTCTGCTTTTACCTTTTTTTTTTCTGAGAATGAATTAGAATTACTCCTAAGACTGAGTGAAATTTTATTCTATTTAACCGTCTTGTGAGTCAATTTTTGTTAGCCCCTGAAATTAAGCAGGGGTGAGGTGTTGCCTTCTCAGGTAGGGTGACAACTTAAAACTGTCCCAGGTTGGACAATAAATTATATGGGCAACACAATCTTAAGGACTGTAAGCCACAGCAGACTTACCACCAAGCCTGGTAGCCTCGCACATATCTCTGCACAGTAATGGCCGCCTTCCGCATTCGCAGGTACTTCTTCCGCAGCAGCCACCCCCGAATCGTCTTCTGGATCCGGATGCAGGCAGCCCTCAGCTTGTCTGCCCTCAATTTTTCTAGATAGGCTACTTGACCGGCACGGAAAAAGATCTTGGTCTTACCAAACTGGTATTTGTCCTTGTCCTATTGTTGGAGGAAATTGTATACTCAGAAGTAGAAATAATGACCATGTAAATAAAAATTTAAAAGAGAAAAAAACAACTAAAAGCAGAATCAGTGAAGGGATGAATCTATTAGCTAAAACTTGGGCTACATCGCAATTAATTAATGGAGCCAGATTTCTGAGCCTATGCAAGTTGAGCAAATAGAGGAGTTTTAAGGAAAATTGAAGTTTAAGAGTTAAATTTTCCAGAATTATTCTACCTGGAATTATTATATGAGGCCAAAAACTTGGTTGTGGGTTATAGGCATTTATTATTTGCTTGTTTGTATTTTAAACCTCTCAAGGAAATGGAGATGCTGACACTCCCTCTGACTGACCCAGGTTGTAAGGGTTACATCAGGCTGTAATCCACGAGAAAGCTGAAGGACAAAAACGGCAGTATGAAGAATAAGATGGGGGGGTGGGGGGGGGACATACAAAATCAAAATACAAAAAGCAAAAACAAAAAACCTTGGGCATTCATATTAAGAGTTAAGTTTTTCAAGAGTTATCTCTTGGGTTTATCAACAGTATTTGAAAACAAATAAACAAAAACCCCTATAATGCGTCTAAAATCCTTCTACAAATTTCAAAACTCCTTTTCCAAAAATATAATACTTTATATTGCTCACTGCCACTTGATCATAACCAGAGTTGAGCAGTAACCACAGAAACACATGCTATTTCTGGTCCATTACATTGTGATCCACCTTATCTAGAAGTATGCAAGTTATTAACCATTCCCATATCAAAAGAAGAGTGGAATTTTCTTATGATAATCACTGTGACCTGAAATTCTAAGTGAAAGTAGAGAAAATCACTTTACACTGTAAGCAGATATCTCCTACTTCCTACATGAAACCAGAAAATGAGAAATCTCAACATATATGTAAAAAATCTACAATTACTTCAATATAAAATCAATAAAGATACATAGGAACCCTAGCTGGAGGTCTAAAAAGAGCTAGAAAGTGATTCTCTATCTCCCTTCTCCTCTCCCTGTCCTTGTCCCAGCCCCACCTCAGCCTCCACACCAACCCTAACCTCCTCTATCCTGTAGCCTCAGCCGCCAAGGTGTCCTGCAAAGCGCTGATCTAGCACAGTGGTCGGCATGAGGAGTCCAGGCACAGGACTGACCCTACTTCCTGCTCTACATTCGTTCTGAACCCATATTAGAAAAGAAGTTGGGTCAAACTCAAAAAAAAAAAAAAAACACTTTCTTTTACAACACATTACTAAGAAAGTGGTCTCAGCTCTTTCAAAAGAGAAAAATATATTATTACCAGAGGGGTATTACATTTAATTCACAGCTAGTAGTTATGGTTAATTGCTTCAGAGTAATCAATCCAGACTAGTGTAAACCAAGTGAAAAAAAAATTTTTTTTAATCTTTACTCATGAATCTTAAACTTTACTTGATCTAGATCAGTGCTCCTCAGACCAGCATCAGCATTACCTGGGAACTTGTTAGAAAAGCAAATGCCTGGGCCCTCCCCACACAGACTGAATCAGAAATTCTGCAGGTGGGACCCAGCAATCTGTGTTGTAACAAGCCCTCCAGGTGATTCTGATGCACAGAATAGTTTGAAAACTCCTTAGCTTGGCATGTAAGACTCATGTACAACACCAACCTACCTTCTTAATCATTTCTCTCCTGGCCCATACACAAATATCTCACCGCAAAAAATCTACTTGACTGTTTTTTGAGCAAACCCTATGTTTTCCTACTTCTTTGCGCCTTGCTCCCTCCTAGAATAGTCTCCATTTTTATACAATCTTGTCCATTCATCAGCAGCTGACCCAAAACACATCTCTTCCATGAGACAGTTCCTCCTTACCATAGCTGGATGTGACTTTGTCTTCCTCTGATTTCTTGTCTCACTCACTCAGCATTCGACAGATCCTGAGGTATACTGTTTGAGTCCACCAGGTGCTCCTTGGAAACTGTATGGGGCAGTTCTACTCTGTCCCATAGGGTCGCTATAGGAATATAGGAATTGACCTGATAGCAACGGGTTTGGTTTTTTTGGTTGGAGGTATACTGTACTTACCTTTCAAATGCATTCATCTTCAAGACAGAATAAGTTACCTGAGAATAAGACTTATTTTTTTCTTTAATCATACAGCATTTTTTAAATAAGTACTAAACTCCAAACCCGTTGCTGACAAGTAGATCCCGACTCATAGCAACCCTCCAGGATAGAATAGAACTAGAGGATAAGAGTTTCCAAGGGTTTCCAAGGCTGTAATCTTTACAGAAGCAGACTGTCACATCTTTCTCCCATGGAGCAGCTGGTGGGTTCGAACCGCCAACCTTTCAGTTAGCAGCTGAGCACTTAACCATTGCACCACCAGGACTCCTTTTATAAGTAAGTACTGTTGTTGTTAGGTGCCATCGAGTTGGTTCTGACTCATAGTGGCCCCTTGCACAACAGAATGAAACACTGCCCAGTCCTGCACCGTCCTTACAATCGTTATGCTTGAGCCCACTGTTGGCAGCCACTGTGTCAATTTGTCTTGTTGAGGGTCTTCCTCTTTTTCACTGACCCTCTACTCTACCAAGCACAATGTCCTTCTCCAGAGACTGATCCCTCCTGATAACATGTTCAAAGTATGTGAGACAAAGTCTCGTCATCCTTGCTTCTAATGAGCATTCCGGCTGTAATTAAACACTAGGTAAATATTCATAATGATCAAACTCATAAGAATGCTTCTCAAGTCTGAGTCCAGGCCTCATAATCCTGTTTGCTGATGTTGGACCATCATCCTCACTAGTCCTTGTATCCTAAACACAGTGAGTTTCGATCCTTAAGACACTATACCCAAAAACCTACACCCTCACTCCCCAGATAATCTAGATCAGTGATATTTTACATGGAAGCCCCAGGACTTTTAAAAGTCAGAATTACAAGGCCTTTGGCCAACATCCGCTCAGATAAAGTGAAAATCATTCCTACCAGTATCAGCTTCTCTAACACATTCTTGCATGTTTGCTTTCTGTCACTCAGCACATCTTTTTGCTTCATTAGGACACGGTAGCGGCTGAAAAATTCTTGGTAAGTCCACCTATAAAAAGAAACTCACATCAGCTTACTTAAAGAACTATAGGACCCTTCCACTAGGAACCCTTATATTTAAGAATGCCAGGCTTCGTCTGGGGTCTTAAAAGCTAGCAAGTGGCCATCTAAGATGCATCAATTGGTCCCAACCCACCTGGAGCAAAGGAGAATGAAGAAAACCAAAGACACAAGAAAATATTAGCCCAAGAGACAAAAGGGGCCACATAAACCAGAGACTCCATCAGCCTAAGAACAGAAGAACTAGATAGTGCCCAGCTACCACCAATGACCGCCCTGACAGGGAATACAACAGAGTCCCTGATGGAGCAGGAGAAAAGTGGGGTGCAGAACTCAAATTCTAGTAAAAAGATCAGACTTAATGGTCTGAGACAGGAGGAACCCCAGAAGACATGGCCCTCGGACTCTCTTAACCCAGAACTAAAACCATTCCCGAAGCCAACTCTTCAGACAAACAATAGACTGTACTGTAAGACATAAAATGATACTCGTGAAGAGTGTGCTTCTTAGCTCAAGTAGATACATGAGACTAAATGGGCAGCTCCTGTCCAGAGGCAAGATGAGAGGGCAGAGAGGAACAGGAGCTGACTGGATGGACACAGGAAATCCCAGGTGGAAAGGAGGAATGTGCAGTCACATTATAGGGATAGCAACTAGGGTCATATAACAATGTGTGTATAAATTTTTGTATGAGAAACTAACTTCAGCTGTAAACTTTCACCTAAAGCACAATTAAAAAAAAAATTCTTACTGTTCCACTCAATCTTTCTTGAGAAAAGACCTGTCACTGCTTGTTTATTAATCTATACATTCATTAAAATATTTGCTGTGTAAAATGAAATAAAATAAAAATGCCAGGCTTACCGTGATGGGAAACCTGCCGCACTGATTCGAATAGTTTCCAGGACACCACATGCTCTCAGTTGCTGCACTGCCCTCTTCTCATCAAACCTACGTATAAAAACAAAAATCATGAATACTTGAAGCCTGGCTACAGCCAGAGATTACTCTCCTCCGCCATCCAGAGATTAAATTCTTGTGGAGGGAGCCAAATGGATAAATTCGAAAAGAAAGAATTCAAAAGTTGGAGCAGCAATCAAAATGGTAAACTGTATGTAGAGTGGGGAGTGGACACTTAGCAGTAAAAATAAAGAGCTGTCAAAATTACCTGAAGTTTCCACCACAGGCTTGTAAGAAATACCTGTGAGCATATGTAAAAAAATGAAACCCCTCTGTACTATGCCAGTATTTGTTACATGGCTTGGCCTCACTAGGCGTTCTCAGAACTCTTCAGCTCAGTATATATAGCTGCACTAGGATAAACATTGGCCAGCCCTGAAGATTTCACTAAAAAGGGCAAATTAACACGAAAGCTGAGACTCAAACATAGTCTTGCACACCAATGTTCACTGCAGCACTATTCACTATTGCCAAAAGGTGGAAACAACCTCAATGTCCATCAACAGATGAATGGATTAATGAAGTGTGGTACATAGATACAATGGAATACTACTCAGCCAGTAAGAGAAATGAAGTCTTGCTTGATATATGCTACAATATGGATGGAGCCTGAAGACATTATGCTGAGTAAAATAAGTCAATCACAAAAGGACAAATATTGTATGACCTCGCTTATATAAAGAGACAAGAATAGGCAAATGTATAGAGATCAAAGTTTATTAGTGGTTACCAGGGTGAGGAAACCCTGGTGGCATAGTGGTTAAGAGCTACAGCTGCTAACCAAAAGACCAGCAATTCGAATCCACCAGGTGCTCCTTGGAAACTCTATGGGGCAGTTCTACTCTGTCCTATAGGGTTGCTATGAGTCGGAATAGACTTGACAGCAAAGGTGGGGTGAGGGGTGGAAGGGAGGGGGAAAAGGGGAGTTATTGCTTAGGGAGTACTGAGCTTCAGACTATGGTGATGGAAAAAATGCATTGATTAAAGGTAGGGTTACATAGCCAATTACTGCAACTACTGTCAATAAGTTGTACGCCCGTAAAAATTTGAATTGGCAAAAGTTGTGTTATAGATACATTTATAGCAATGACAAAAAAAACCGTAGCTGCTGAGTCTGCTTATGTACAACCAAACACCTCATGGAATTTGGTTCCCTGATATGGAGGTTTAGTTTCATGGTTTCATGGGACACCCCAATTAATTGGCCTAATAACGTGTTTAGTGCTTCTGTTCTACCTCCTAGTTCACTGCATAGTGCTTGGGGTCTTAAAAGCTTTCAAGTGGTGATCCAAGGCACAACAATTGGTCTCTATTCACCTGAAGCAACAGAGGAAGAAGGAGAGTCAGGAATAGGAGGAGGATATAGAATGTGTGACTAATTGTCCCCATGAACAACAGCCTCCTTTGCCATGAGACCAGAAAAACTGGACGGTGCCCAGCCACCATTACTGAACATTTCGATCAAAGAGTCCATAGAAGAATCCAGACCAAAAGGGGGAAAATGCAGAAGAGAATTTTAAATTCTCATGGACTCTAGACTTTCTGGAGTCATGGAGGGTGGATAAACCCCTAAAACTACTACCCTGAGGTAATCTTCAACCTTAAACCAAAATTATCCCCTTAAGTCTTCTTTAACTGAACAACAGTTTAGTTCAACCAGTTAAAAAAAAAAAAAAAAGTCTGCCTTAAGCATTATGCGCTTTTAAGAACTATCTATATGGGATCAAACTGACTACAGCAACTCAAAAGATTATATAGGAACCTCAGGAGGCACTGAGTTTGTGTTAATGGGGGAGAAAACAACTCAGAAAAGGAGGGTGAGAGTGACTGCACACCTTGAAGAATGTCATCAATGTCCCTGAATTACACGTGTAGAAACTTGAGTTGGTATATTTTTTTGCTGTGTATATTCTCAACAAGAAAAATAAACAAAATATATTATTAAAAATATGACAAATTAAATATGCCCCATTTGTTTAAAAAAAATTGCTGATGTTCTAAAAGCTATTCAGTAAGTACATACTAAGCATTCATAGCATTCACAGCAATGAAAAACATTTTGGATTTTGTATTACATTTTATATTTATTTAACTCTAGACAAATGACATCTTAAAATTAAATTGACACTAAAAGATAAAATAGAAAGGTCTTTGTCTCCCCAGATAAGCACTCATTACTCCCCAGTGTAAGCCCTAAGCTGCCTGTGAGTCTTTTGCTGCTCTATCTTCTTAGGTCTTCTGGTGGTGGTGGGAAACGGAGCTGGCAGATGGAAAGGAATGACTCCCAGCGCTGTCCCACAGAGAAGCCCAGGGTGTGGCAGCTTTTCCAGGCTTCCCACCTGCTTCTAGAAAGGGCTTCTTGGTGATGAGGAGGACAGGAGGATGTCAGTCTTTCAGATCTGCCCTAGAAGCTAAGGCAGGATTTTCAGAAAGCAGGATTTATAAAGGTGTAGGGAAATGGATACACTCATACACTGTGAAATATGAGTGTCGTGCCTGGTCTCTGACCCACAAATTCCACTTCTAGAAATACATTATCCTGAGGAGATAATCAGACAAATACACAAATATCTTTGCCAAAAGATGTTCATCATAGCATTGTTGGAATAACCTGAATGACTCAATAGGGAATGACTTAAATAAGTGATGATACGTCTATACATCGGGATACTCTACAGAGAATCTTTATTTACTATCATGGAGAGTTGTCCACAGTCTATTAAATTAAAAAGCAGATACAAAACAGCAATTACAACATGTGTCCCCCTTTTTTAAAAAATCTCATAAAGACAGACAGATAGACAGACAGACAGACACACACACACACATGGAGTAGGGAAGGGAGGAATGTTACTTGGTCAAGAAAGATCCTTGCAAGTTAAAACCAGTTATCTCTCTGGGTATTGCTGATGTGTTTTTATGTATTTTTATACTAGTTTACACTTTTTGAAAATTGTTTTTCGAGTGTCATGTATGACTTTTAAAATTAGGGAAATATCCTGAAAAATTTTGAAAAAGCAACCTCCAGAAAGATCTGTTCTCCCCTCATAAGGAATAACTGAAGTAGGATGAGATGTTGGTAAAAGTAAACATTCTCTGATGGTATCAATAGTTGAAATAACTGTAACCACAACTAAACTCACTGCTGTTGAGTTGATTCCGACTCACAGCAACCCTACAGGATGGGGTAGAAATGCCCCATAGAGTTTCCAAGGAGCGGCTGGTGGGTTCAAACTGCCGACCTTTTGGTTAGCAGGCGAGCTCTTAACCACTGTGCCACCAGGGCTCCTGAAATAACTGTAGGCCTTTGCTTAAGCAGCCTTACCTCACCCACCTCCCCTCAAGCTCTGGTTTTAATTAATGCCCAATTAACAAAAACTCCAGAAAGTTAACTTTAAAACTGAAAAATAGAACTAGGAAAGCTTGGTTGGCCTTGACTTTTAAAATCCTCAGAAGGCCAATTGCTGATTTGTTCTCTCATTCTCAAAAGATCAGAAAAACTGAAACAATTCTATTAACTAGTAGTTTCCCTCCACAAGACATGCAGATTTGCCTAAATATTTTTTCCTTATGCTGTTCTGGCAATACCTATGAGATACGGCCCTTTATTTTTTCATTGACTAGTTGCGACACACTTACGTGAATGGAAACTTGAAGTCATTAGGCTTAATACAGCGTACATAGTGAGGAGTGGTGGCGTTGAGGGTGTCCATAAGCAAGTGAAGGGAGTTTCGGAACTGCATGAAAAAAAGCAGAAGGGGCATCAAGTGCTTGTCAAAAGTCAAGGATGAAGTAAACCAATTTAATGTTCTAATGAAAATGACTTCGTGACCTGCAAAGCTGACACATCTTCAAAAGGCGAGCTGCTACTAAACAGAAATGACAGAGCTTTAGGTTAAAACTGCTTAAATTCTACTACTTTGGATGCTTAAATCTGCTAAATACACATTCACTCTCCTCTCACCCATTTTTCCCTGCTCCCTTTTAAAAATATAAATCTCTACAGCTTCCTGTTGTGGCTCAAAATTTTGATTAAAAATATCACTTTGCTTTAAGAATAAAAAGTCATTTAAACACACAAAGGGGAATTTTGCTGTAAGATCCTGAGAAAGTAGCCGAGACTTAAGAAGTATAGGGAATGATTGCAGAATGGGAGAGAGCAGTCAGTGAGGGGGTTCCAATTAGGACAAGGACCTGGGCTTTGGCCCTGGGCAGGCCTGCCTTCCTGCCTATACTGGGCAGGTGCACAGAAAAGCAAGCTGACTGGTGCTCAGCCTCTGGTCCAAAGGCCTGCCCCTATTCAGGCACTAAGCTCGTGTGTAACGTTTGCCACATCCCCAGATTGTAAAACACAGACAAAGCAGAGGGCGGTGTTCCTGCACTGAAGGAGCTGATGTGTTGTACAAATCCAGACACAAAACAATCAGAGAACAAAACAAAGACAGCAGCAGTCTGGGAAGATGATATGCACTAGAATTAAGACACAAAGAAAATTATTTTGGGAGAGACTTAAGCAGAGTCACAGGTCTGAAGATGGGTTGAGAGAAGTGTGAGTGGATGGTGCTGAGCGTGCCACAGGGGAAGATCTAGCCTATCCTCATCTGAGGACCCCACCTGGGAGCCCGAGGCTTCAGGGAGCCAAAGGGAAGGGTTGCTGCAGCAGCTCACTGAGCTCACCTGGTGCCCCACAGTTTTCTTGTGCTCCTTGGCCGCCTGGCCTGGCCTGCCTTTGTTCAGCTTTGCAGGCATGCGGGTGAGGAGGGTACGCCCTGAAGAGGTGGCTGAAGTTGGACTGATGGCCTTTTCATCGTCTTGAAATAATTCTGGTAGCATCTTAAACTGAGTCAGAAACAGTAACAGGAAATTACACTGGAAACTAAAATGTCAATGTGAACCTTCACAGAAGAAACATTATGAAGATTTCCTTCCTTAAATAACCCCTTTCAGATTCACATTCTAGAAATAATATCTGTTAGGAGCCAAAAATATGATAGAAAAGTGAGATAAAGTTATAAAAATATAGATAGAAAAGTGCAACAATTTACAATAATATTAGGGGAAAAACAAAACCAAAACTACTACTCTCAGACATGAAATCCTAATCCACAGGAAATGCTTCTGAACTATTATTATTTTATGAGTAAAATACTAATGGAAAGTCCTATCTTATTACTTCAGTTCCAGAAAATGTTTTATTACCCAGTTGAGAAAAACACTAGTCCAAGTTTACAAGTTATTTATCAACTGTTCATCCGCTTCACTTGTCTACCCTCTAATTCAAGTGCTGAGCACTAACTCAAAAATACTGTTGAAAATCTCAATAGGAAGGGTGTCATGAACTAGTTCTACAATATTATAAGATTATAAGGTAATCGTTTCTTAATGATAGTTTTAAGAAAGTGATTTGGATTCTCGGAAAAAAACCAAAAGCGAAAAAAACCTGCCTGTATCCTATAAGCTTTTATATTTGTTTTCAAGGGATTTAAAACTTGACTGTGTAATTCCTGTAATTGATCTATTTTGTGTTTTACTGGGTTATTAAAAGATTCAGTACCCAATAAGTGGGTGGATGATATTAGCAAATGTGATTGGAAGAAATTTTATGGAACAAAAGAAACTTCAAACTAATCCCCAAAAGCATCTTGATACAGGTACATATTTTTATAACAGTGCCACATCCCTTATAAAGAAAATAAAATCCTTATAATCAATCAAATTATATTTGCAGCTATCATTTACTTATCTAACAATCTCAGAATATCTGTAGAAAAAAATAATTTGCTCATGAGAATTCTTCCACTAAAAAGTAAAATCAGATAGATACTGTAATTTGATTTGCTTTTTATGTGTATCAATCATAAGGATTTAAGAAATAACTCATGATATGTATAACAAATTGTTATAGATAACATACCAATAATAGCTGCTTGCTACACAAATGAATGTACTCCTTACTTTACAGAATAAATAATATATTGTAGCTTGGCTGGCTATAAAGAGGAAAAAAACAATGTTTTACCATGACCTTGTATTACAATGTTAAAGCTGGGTTTCCAACGGGAAAAATAAAACTTCCTAACAGGTTGATATGAAACCTCCAATGGCTTAGAATGGTAGGCCAGTCAATTATAAGCCATGTACTTCAGAATCTTATCCATATGATTCTATCATTCCCAAATGAATTGCTAGTTCTGCATAAGCAGATGCCTAAACTTTGTATTTCTCTCTTTAGTGTGAAATGGTTAATAGAGCTGGGCTGCAATATTATGTTCACTAGTAAATGCTATCATTTAATTAACATCTACAATATCTACCAGAAAATTGTTTAGTTTTCAGAGTTCAGGATACATGCACCCATACAAATATATACATATGTATATGTATGTACATATGTACGTGTGTGTGCAGCCTTCTCTTTCTTCATGGATATTATAAAGTTAAAATTCTTTACACTGAGCTTTCTTAAAAAAAAAAAAAAAAAAGAATACATTTGAAATTGGTGTATTAGAGACTAATTTCTTCTTCAGGCAATTTCATCCAGTTCCATAGCTTAAACACCACCTAGGCTCTAAAGACTACCAAATTTCTATCACCTGCCTTGATTTTTACTCTGAACTGCCAACTTTCATTTCCAACTTCCTATTGACAGTCCACTGGCTATCAAATTACCACCTCAAACTAAACATGTCCAAAACAGAGCTCTTGATTTTTTTCCCCAAAGCCTGATCTTTTACCAGTCTTCAGACCTTAGTAAATGGCCCTATCACCCACCCAGTAGTCGGGTCAAAAACCTAGAAGTCATCCTCCCTTCTCCTTTCTCTTACACTCAATACTCAATCCATCAAGAAGACCTGTCAACTCTACCCACTAATTATATCCCACCTCCACTACTACTGGTGGTGAAGTGGTTAAGAGCTACGGCTGCTAACCAAAAGGTCAGCAGTTTGAATCCATCAGCCACTCCTTGGAAACCCTCTGGGGAATGTTCTACTCTTATAGGGTTGCTATGAGTCAGAATCGACTTGACAGCAACAAGTTCCACTGCTATGATCTCAGTATCTCAGTCCACCATGTCTCTTTGGAGCACTTCCGCCCCATCTCTACCCACTCCAAATAACACCTCCACACAGCATCATATCATTCCTAAGGGGAAAACTTTTCAGACGTTTCACTGCAACAGGAATAAAAAACACACTCTTTACCACCATCTGCAAGGCCCTTCCTCTAGAAAGTGGCTCTTGTCTAGCCATCCTACATGTCACTCACCTACCATGCTCCAGCCACACTGGCCTTCTTTCTGGACCTCAAAAGCAACCCACTTATTCGGTCTCACTGCTCCCCACTTGCTCTTCCCTCTGTCTTGATGTAGCTATCTCCTATTACTCAGGTTTCAGCTCCAATGTCACCTCCTCAGAGGCCTTCCCGACCACTCACCGGTGGCTGCACACGATACTGACTCTCCAGCTTGGTACCCTGTTTTACTTTCTTTATAGCACTTATCACTCTGAAATTACCTAGACACTTGATTAAGTGGCTACTGCCTACCTGTCCACAAGAGCAGGAACCTCTACCTCATTTACGTTCTTTACCTCAATAAATCCTCAATTTCTTAAATCATTTACTGAAGAATTTATCTATTCCCCACTGACTGGGGATGCCAACTTTATTTAAAGATAGACAGGCAGGCAGGTAGATACATCTGGGGATTCCATCTTGTGTCTTTGATCTGTCTCTCTATTCTTAAGATAGGGTTCTGAACTGCTTAAGACTAAACTTGTGGGAGGCAGGGCCAAAGGCGTAGTAGTCAGAAGCTTCCGGTGGACCCTCTTATAACAAAGACCTGAAAAAATAAGTGATTCTATTATATACGGCAACCTGGGGGCCCTGAACATCAAAGGCAGAGTTGGGGAACCGGATTGAGTGGCACAGGGAGGGAGAGACAGTTCGGAAGCAGCAAGGAGTTGCTAGACCTGACCCGGCGACAGTTTGAGCCCTCCAGGCCTGATTAGCTTGGGGGTGAGCGGTGAGGCAGGCAAGTAGCCGTGCTCTGGAGGCGCATTTTCCACACCGAGAGAGACTCAGCACCAGAGACTCTATGTGGCCACCAAGAACCAGTGAGAAGCAGACCTCCAAGACAGATAAGTACTTGCGGTACAGCTTATCGCGTGGATCAAAAACACCCCCTTAGGGAAAAACCTCTCTCCCATTTAACTCCCCACTCCCTGCTCTGCACTGGGTCCTGGATCAGCTTCAGCAACTGCTGAGTCCCCAGGGCCAGAAGTAGGATTCATCACACGCCCGGAGCCACTCTCCCTGCCTTGGAGAGTGAACAAATTAACAAACGGGGGAAAAATAAACTGCCGGCTCCCCTAAGCCAGAACCCAGGGTAGGCACAGCTCATTTGCCTAGGCACAGGCATAAGGGATGCACGGACTCTGACTGCCTTTCTCCCTGCATAGACTTCAGTGGGCCCATCTCAACAATGTAGACCCTCACTACTGCAGTACAATAGGGTATATACCAGAACCCTAATTTCAACTATGTCAGCTGTGAAGTGGCAGGTTCTTGACATTTGACACTGCTCTGCCATTAAACAGGCTCTTCAACTACCCACATCAGGGGCCTGAGGACTAGTGGCTCCACCCACACCACCTAGCCACCTGTGAGAGGGGCCCATGAATAAGAGGTGCTCCCCAGTCCTTACAGCCAACAGCATTAGGTGCTCAGTCTGGCTGCAAAACCCACCCACCTACGTGCTCTAGGGAACAGGGACATGCCTTCTTCCTGGACACTTGGGGGTGGCCGTCAGCCCCCTGCCTTGCTCAGAGTGTGTCCCTCTGCTGCAGCCAGATGCCTGTGCCTAGACCAATCACCCATGCCTGTCTAGGACTGTAAGTGAGAGCCTATACCACACACTCGGTGGCTATCTACCTGAACATCTTAGCTGAATCCATAAAGGAGGAGTGGGTGGACTCCTGAGCTCCTGTTACATACCTAGTAACAGATCTATCAACCCAGTGACAGGACATTAGTGCTTCAAGGGTGCCAATAATCAAACTAGCTCATAGGAGCAGCCTATTTGGGCATATCAAAACAAAACAAGAAGCTAGGACACAGTAAGCAAACATAAAATAAATAAATATAATTATGTATTGATGGCTCGGAGACACAGTCAATATCAAATCACATAAAGACGCAATTCATGATGGCTTCAGCAAGCTCCCAAAATAATCTAGAAATTTTCCACAGGAGGAAAATTTCTCGAAACTACCAGAGGCAGAATACAAAAGATTAATATACAGAACTCTTCAAGAATTAGGAAGGAAATTAATCAAAATGAAGAACATGCAAAGGAGGAAATTAAAAAGATTAGAGAAGAGCATAATGACAAATTTAACAGGCTGCAAGAATCCACAGAGAGACAGCAATCAAATCCAGAAGATTAACAATAAAATTTCAGAATTAGACAACTCAATAGAAAGTCATAAGAGAAGAACTGAGGCAATGCAAGTCAGAATTAGTGAGACTGAAGATAAAGCACTTGACACCAACTTATTTGAGGAAAAATCAAGATAAAAGGATTTAAAAAAAATGAAGAAACCCTAAGAATTATGAGGGACTATATCAAGAGGAATAACCTAGGAGTGACTGGTGTACCAGAACGGGGCGGGGATAACAGAAAATACAGGGAGAATTGTTGAAGATCTGTTGGCAGAAAACTTCCCTGATATGGCAAAAGATGACAAGGTATCTATATGCTCATTGAACCCCCACATAAGATAGATCCCAAAAGAAAGTCACCAAGACATATTATAATCAAACTTGCTAAAACCAAAGATAAAGAGAGAATTTTAAGAGTGGCTAGGGATAGCAAAGAAGTCATCTACAAAGGAGAGTCAATAAGAATAAGCGTGGACTACTCAGCAGAAACCATGCAGACAAGAAGGCAATGGGATGACATATATAAAGTCTTGAAGGAAAAAAACTGCCAGCCAAGAATTATATATCCAGCAAAGCTGTCTCCCAAATATGATGGTGAAATTAGGGCATTTCCAGAGAAACAGAAGTTTAGGGAATTTGCAAAAACCAAACCAAAATTATAAGAAATACTAAAGGAAGTCCTCCGGTTAGAAAATCAGTAACATCAGATAACAACCCAAGACTAGAACACAGGACAGAGCAACCAGATATCAACCCAGATAGGGAAGTCACAAAGGCAAATCAAAGCTAAAACACTGAAAATAGGGAAACAGATGTCAATACGTAAAAGATGACGACACTAAAACAAAAAAAGAGGGACTTAAAAAATGTAACACAGATTTTTCATATGGAGAGGAAGTCAAGGTGATATAAAGAAATAAAAGACTGGTATAAACTTAGAAACAGGGGTGAATATTAAGGTAACCACAAAGGAAACTAACTATCCTACAAGTCAAAATAAAAAACTATAAAAATGTAAAGACTCAGCAAACACAAAATCAACTACAATGAAAAAGATGAAAAGAAAATACATAAAGAAAAAGGACTCAGCACAGAAAATTAAGTGGAACAAAGAAACTGTGAACAACACACAAAAAAAGACATCCAAATGACAGCACTAAATTCATACCTATCAATAATTATGCTGAATGTAAACGGACTAGATGCACCAGTGAAGAGACAGAGAGTGGCAGAATGGATTAAAAAACACGATCTGTCTATATGCTACCTACAAGAGACACACCTTAAAGACACAAACTAAAACTCAAAGGATGGAAAAAAATATATAAAGCAAACAACACTCACAAAAGAGCAGGACTGGCAATATTAATCTCTGACAAAATAGACTTTAAACTAAAATCCACCACAAAGGATAAGGAAGGACACTATATAATGATTAAAGGGTCGATACATCAGGAGGACATAACTATAATAAATATTGACACACCCAACGACAGGGCTCCAAAATACATACAACAAACTCTAACAGCACTGAAAAGAGAGATAGACAGTTCCACAACAGTAGTAGCAGACTTCAACACACCACTTTCAGTGAAGGGCAGAACATCCAGAAGGAAGCTCAACAACGATACGGAAGAGCTAAACGCTACAATTAACCAACTCGATCTCACATACATATACCGAACACTCCACCTGACAGTAGCCAAGTACACTTTCTTTTCCAGTGCAAATGGAACATTCTCCAGAAAAGACCACATATTAGGCCCTAAAGCAAGCCTTAACAAAATCCAAAGCATTGAAATATTACAAACCATCTTTTCTGACCAAAAAAGCAAGGGAAAAAGTTAAACACATGGAAAATGAACAACACCTTGCTCAAAAACTACTGGGTTATAGAAGAAATTAAGGATGAAATAAAGAAATTCATAGAATCAAATGAGAATGAAAACACATCCAACCAGAACCTTTGGGACACAGCAAAAGCAGTGCTCAGAGGTCAGTTTATAGCAATAAATGTACACATCCCAAAAGAAAAAAAGGGCCAAAATCAAAACATTAACCCTACAACTGTAACAAATAGAAAGAGAGCAGCAAAACAAGCCCTCAGGCACCAGAAGAAAGGAAGTAATAAGAATTAGAGCAAAATTAAATGAAATAGAGAATACAAAAAAAATTGAAAGAGTTAACAAGACCAAAAGCTGGTTCTTTGAAAAGATCAACAAAATTGATAAACCACTGGACAAACTGACAAAAGAAAAACAAGAAAGGAAGCAGATAACCTGTACAAGAAATGAGATGAGTGATATCACAAAAGACCCAACAGAAATTAAAAGATTCATAACAGAATACTAAGAAAAACTGTACTCTAACGAATTTGAAAACCTAGAGGAAATGGACAAATTTATAGAAACTCGCTGCCTACCTAAACTAACACAAACAGAGGTAGAACAACTAAACAAACCCATTAGAAAAGAAGAGATTGAAAAGGTAATTAAAAAACTCCCCCCCAAAAAAAGCCCAGGCCCGGATGGTTTCACTGGAGAATTCTACCAAACTTTCAGAGAAGAGTTAACACCACAACTACTAAGGTATTTAAGAGCATAGAAAAGGGTGGAATACTCCC